CCCTGTCTCAAAAAAAAAAAAAAAAAACAAAAAACAAAAAAAAAAAAACAAGAGATAGGATTAAAGGTGTGTGTGCCATCATTTTCTGGCCTCTATGTTTGTCTAGTGGCTGTTCTGTTCTCTGACCCCAGATAATAAACATTAGGGTGCACAATATACTGGGGGACACAATATCACCACAGCACAACACATATTCAGGCACACACATATACACATAAAATAAATAAAACTTAAAAAAAGAGGAAGGAAACCTGAGCACCCATCAACAAAAAAAAAAGATGGACAAAGGACAGGATCTGTGCGTAAGTCAGAGTATTATTCAGCAGGGCAGAAGATTCTCACACAGGCTAGAACCCCAGTGGACTCTGAAGACAGATGTGGTAAATGAGCAACAAAAGACGATAGTGTATGAGCCGGCTGGAGTGGAACCCACGGAATTAGACAGCAGAAGGGTGGCTGGCTGGGCTGGAAGGATTTCTGACAATGGATATAGAGTTCCTTCTGTTTTGCAAGATGACCAGGCTGCAATTTTTTTTTTTTTTTGCATATGATACTACTGGACCCAATACTTGTTATCTAAGATGAAACATTTCAGGTTACAGTGTATTTCTTTCCAATTTAAAAAAAAAATGAAGAAATACAGTGCTGAGCCCACAAGGCTGTACACACCACCTGTCATTCAAGCACTTGACAGGCTGAGACAGGGGGAATCAAGAGTTCAAGGAATACATAGCAAGTTCAAGACTAGTCTGGGCTATCTCAAACAAACAAACAAATGAACAAGAAATACAATTTTGAACAGGAGAGAGTCAGTGTAGGTATAGTAAGCAAGGTTTTCATTTTTGTTTTTGGTTGGTTGGTTGGTTGGTTGGTTAGTTTTTGGCTTTTTGAGACAGGGTTTCTCTGTGTAACAGCCCTGGTTGTCCTGGAACTCACTTTGTAAACCAAACTGACCTTAAACTCACAAAGATCCACCTGCCTCTGCCTCCTAAGTGCTGGGATTAAAGGTGGACGGCGGCGGCGGCGGCGGCGGCGGCGGCGGCAGTGGCCTGGCTTGAGTTTCTTTTTTAAACTGGGTGTCTGGAAACATGAGTCCATGGAAGTCACATGGCACTAGCTGAGTTGCAGCCGAGTGTCCACTTTGACACAGATGATCTGTGCTGTACTCCAGTGTACGCCTACTACCTTCATTTTGTACATATGGCCTTTCCCACTTCATCCTTTTTGTAGCCAACTAATATTAACTTCCTTAAAAATGGTGAGCTGTGGCTGCATTTTCCCTGCTTAGTAAAGGCTAGCATGTAGACTTTTCGATCTGCTACTCCCTCCGCAGCCTGGGCAGCTCTATCATGGGGTTGAATCACTCGGAAACCTTGTTAAAGTTGATAAAATTACAAATTATTTGGCAATTCCCCTGCAGCCTTCATCTCAGCCCACGCTTTCTCAGTGTAGCCAGAAGACAGCAGAAGGGAAATAGAATTATTGTCTCATGACCTCTGGGGGAAGCCAGGCCCCGAGAGAGTCAAGCTTGGGTTTTGAGAGCATCATTTTAGGCCTACTGTGGTTCCACTTCACTGCTAACGGTTCAATGAATGGAGCCAGTATCTCTCCACAACACAAGGAAAATGTTTCTAAAGTGTTCAACTCAGACAAGTCTAGGCAAGAGCCCAGACCTCAGCATATACATGAAAATGCACTGCAAGCATACATACACATACACACACACACACAGAGAGAGAGAGAGAGAGAGAGAGAGAGAGAGAGAGAGAGAGAGAGAGAGAGAGAGAGAGAGAACACAGGTGGCTGCATGCTAAAGGTGTGTCTGTTTGCCAGTGCCCTCTGCCTCTTACACAGAACTAGACACAGCTTTGGAAAAGGATTCTACGTAACAATTTGTCTTTGATTCTGGGATTACAGATCTGAGCCTAAAGAACAAAGACTGGTTCCCCTGAAGACACATATTCATGCATAGCCAACCCTCCATATGAAAGGACCTCTCAGCCTTGGGGGACATACAGGAGAGGCTATGCCCACATGCTACCTGTTGATATATTCGCTTCTTTCCCAGCATCTACATACCTCTTACAACCACCATGGACCTCAGCTACCATGGTGCCTCAGCTGTGTGGTTTGGATGGGATGATGTCCGCTTCTAGCTCAGGAAGAGAAAGTGGTATATCCCATAGGCTTATCCACAGGCCCATGGTGAACACATAACCCTTCTCTCCCAGCTGGTTTTCCCTTTAGTTCATTGGTGTATGTTAATTGTATAAAATACAATTTTGTGACATTTTCTTACATGTTTATAGGGTTCATCATATTACTCCTCATTGTCTCACCTCCTTCCTTCTTCCCACTAGTCTCCTCCTCTTTCCAAACAGAGACTGGGTTGTTTGAATGTTATTGTTATTTGTGTCTTAGGCTTTTGGTTTTCAGACAGAGCCTCATGTAACCTATATGCTGACCTCAAATTCACTATGTAGCTGAGGTTGGCCTTGAATTCCTGATTCTCCGGCTACAAATTCCTAAATGCCAGGATTACAGACCTTAGACACCATGTTTTGCTAGAGACTGAACTATTTTTTGTTTGTTTTTATCCATGTTTCTATTCTCATTAATCAGTTATGCACAGTAATAGATTCCATTATATTTTTATACATGTAGATGATGTATCAGCCATAGTCACCCCATTTCCCTTTCTTGTTCCCTTCCCACCCCTGCTAATCCTCTCCTCTTTCCAACTGACGCTCTTTCCTGTCTTCCTGTCTCCCTTCTGGTGATGGTGTTTCTTTAGGGCTGTTTACAGGACCATAGGCACCTCACCAGAGAAGAAGACGTCTCTTCTTCACCCATCAACCATTAACTGCAACTGCACCTAAACCCTCAGGTGGGTCCCATGAGCCTCTCTCTCCTCCACGACAGGATGTTGATGTACCCAGTCTTATGCAGGTGATCACAACAGCTTCTTAATGCCCGAAAGTCAGCATTCCACACAGCTTCTACCACTTCCTCAAGCACCCACATTCTGTCCCCTCCTCCTTCCTGCAGTGTCTCCCGAGCACTGGAGGGGGTGACACAGACACCCACCTTTGGGGGCTGAGCATTCAATAGTCATTCATTCTCAGCACCTTGACCAGTGATGGGTCTCTGCAATTACAACTGGCCACCTTAAAAAGAAGCGTCCCCGACCAAGGCTGACAGCAGCACTGATCTACAGGCATATACATTGTTACTTAGAAGACAATTTGGCGGGTAAATCACACCCATTTAGTAAAACAACAGCAACACTTTCCCTGCTCAGGCCTATGACCCAGCTGTGAGCTTTAGACCAGGCTTCCCATGTATTCCTTCCTGTGGCGCGGGCCTCAAACCTTCCCAGAAAGCAGTTGGTTGCCTCCATTACAGACTTCCCACTAGTGCACCAGAGGGCACATCTTGCCTGGCCAGTTGGCCTGTGCAGACAGGGCCCACCAGAAAGACTCTTGATAACAACTCTCCCTCAGCAGCCAACATAATACCTTCCAGCACACCGAGTGCTAGCCAGCTGGGAGCAAGTTTTCAGCTTGGTTCCCGCTTGACTTCTCTGCACCTTGAAATTAGGGAGTGCAGTTGAGACTGAATTGTTTTGACTGAACAATGAGAAAAGAAACGCTGGAGGCAGGTGTGGTGGTGCATGCCCCACACAATGCTTGGGAGGCTGTGGGAAAAGGAGCAGACCCTCACGGACGGACGGTTTGGGCCACATAGTCAGGCTTTGTCTCCATGAACCCACACCACACACGAAAGAAAGAAAGAAAGAAAGAAAGAAAGAAAGAAAGAAAGAAAGAAAGAAAGAAAGAAAGAAAAGAAGGAAAGAAGGGAAATGAAAAGAAATGCAAAACTTGATTCTTCCTGCTGCATGTGACAAGATACAGAGAGAGCCAGGAGTCCTGATGTCACTCTGGGACCCCCACTGAGAGCTGCTTGAAAACTGGGTCACAGTGGGGGGGGGCCCCCGAGGCGCTGAAGCAGCACAGGAAGGAGCCTCTACCCTGCACCGTGTGCTACGAACCAGCAAGCCCTCTGCTTATCTCCACCCGGTTTGCTTTAGGCTTTTGGCTATCAAAGGACAGGCAGAATGTTGGTCCAAAACCTACACCATGTAACTCAGCTCCGCTGGACTCTCTGATCAGTGTCTTCCCAGAGCATTTTCAGTTCCTTCTGAAGCACAGATAATTCCAGCTTCAGTCAACGTAGAGTTGAGTTCAGCTGAGAAGACACCCCCTTTCCCTTTGCTCTTGGGTTGTTTGAAACAGGGGCTCATGTGTCCCAGGCTGACCTCACATTTGCTGTGTAGCCAAGGATGACCTCACCTCTCGATCCTCCCGACTGTACCTGCCACACCTGCTGATATGCACCATCACACCCAGGAAGACATTCCCAATAGTTTTGTATGTTAGCAGAACAGTCTGTTTAAAGGTGTAACTTTATTAGGAATTAAGTTGGGGCAGAGGGTTGATAAAAAAGAAAGATGCTTAGGAAAAGGAGAGAGTATGAGTGTGGGCATCTCTACAGAGACTTGCCATATTTGCACATCTTTTAAAGAGAAATTCAGGGTTCTGAATGAAGAGTAAATGTGGATCATGGTTGCAGAAACCAATTTTCTTTTGTTATAGAAAATGCTTTTTAAAAAGGGGTGGGAGGGTAGAGATGTTTACTATTATGAGAAAGAAAAGGTGCGTTTTTCTTTGAAGACCCAAGGAAGTTATTGCAAACACTGAGTTTCACTACTTGCCTTTATTAGGTGTCCTCTATCTGATTGTTAGAAATTATTCATTTCCTCAAACAGAGAATAAATTGCTTGGGGATGCAGCCCTGCCCTGCGCTCTTCCTTTGCTAAAGGCTAATACCGAAGGCTTCAGCATCATGAGAATGCTTCTGCACTCGAGCGTTCTGACTCTCGCCTGTGTCTGGGCCATCGCTATGGAGATTCCCATGAGCACAGTGGTGAAAGAGACCTTGATACAGCTGTCCACTCACCGAGCTCTGCTAACCAGCAACGAGGTAAAGGACACTTTTTATTTCTACGGTTTTGTTTTGTTTTCAAGATAAGGTCTTGCTATGCAGCCCTAACTGGCCTCAAACTTGTTGTGTAGACCAAGCTGTTCCAAATCCTAGGGGATTCTCTTGCCTCTGTCTCCCAAATACTAGGACTGTAGACACAGGTTACCTCACCTGCCTCTATGGGTCTTTAAAAATGTATGAATAGCTGGCTGTGGTGGTGCACAGCTTTAATGCCAGCACTCTGAGGCAGAGACAGGTGCTCTTTGTAAGTTCAAGGCCAGGTTAACCTGGTCTACACAGCAAGTTCCGGGCTAGCCAGAGCTACAAAGTGAGACCCTTACTCAAAAATGATTTTTTTAAAAGCATTAATAATTTATGGCAGTTCATTCTCGCACATAAAGATCTGCTATAAATAATGCAATTATGAATGTGTCAGTGTTAGTCCATGGGTGATGACCCTGTCCCCAGCAAGCGCTGGATTAACACAGCCACAAATGCTTTGGAAATGACCCTATGCTCTTTCATTTGCAGACGGTGAGGCTTCCTGTCCCTACTCATAAAAATGTAAGTTATGCTTCAATGCCGTGATTGCATGAATAAGACGACTTCACACACTTAGCTACAAGTCATTTGCTTCTTGCTTTGTGGTGTTGTGTTTGGGGTGGGCATCCCACTCGGTCCCAAGCTCCTGGGTTTGAGTGATCCTCTCATCTCAGTGTGACTGGCTGGGACATAACAGGCCGGTACCACCCCAGCTAACTAATCATTTGTTTTCGGTAAAAACTGTTTGATTTCCTTTGAAATTTTTTATGTGGGTGCATGTGAAAGTGTGTGCTTATAAATATGAAGAATAGGGGACAGATGGCAAATGATGTAATCCCAATATTTGGGAGCCTGAGGCAGGGGGAGCATGAGTCTGGGGCCACCTTAGGCTCCATATAAATTCAAAGCCCGCCTGGATTATACAACCAGACCCCGTATCAAAAAACAAACAAACAAACAACAAACAGAGAGGGCTAGATATAGAGCTCCATTGATAGAGTGCTTAATGTGCACCAAGCTTTGGGTTCATTCATCAGGACCCCATAAACTAGGCACGGTAGTGCATGTCTGTAATCTCAGCAAGGCAAAAGGAAGCAGGAGGACCAGGGGTCCAGGTCATTCTCAGCCACCTGTTGAGCTAGAGGCCAGCCTGGGCTATGTGACACTCAAAAGCCACCAATCAATCAATATTAGGAATGACTCTGAGCGAATCTGATATATAAGTGGCCAAGTGAAGCTGTCAGCCCTCCATCTAACAGAGACTCACATCAACAATTCCTGGCACAGTTCTACACATGGTAAAGAGGCCCTGCTAGGCTCCGTTTGGTTCTGTCCATGGCATTTCTTTATTTTCCTTTTCTTGTTTTGCATTGCTGAAGATCAAGCCCAGGGCCTTGCATGTGCTGGGTAAAGCACTCTACCAGTGAGTTCTAGACCCGGCCCACTCTAATATTAATCTTTCTGAAAGTACTAATAACTTAGGGTTATATTGCTTTTATTTATTTTTATTTTATAAGTATTTTGTCTGCATATATGTATATGTTCCACATGTGTCTGGTGTCCCCAAAAGCTAAAAGAGGGCATCCAATCACCCGGGACTAGAGCTGCAGATGGTTGTGAGTCATCATGTGGGTGCTGGGAACTGAACCTGTGTCCTCAACAAGAGCATCAAGTGCTCTTAACCATTGAGCCACCTCTCCAACTTAGATGTGGTGATATATTGTGTACCCTAATAAAATTTGCCGAAGATTGGAGAGACAAAGGAACAAGCCACTGCCACGTCTCACCCCACCAGTTCTACTAATCCTCTGACTAAAATCCTCTGAGTCCTCACTCAAAAGGCTCCAGCCAAAAAAGCCTCTGGCCAAAAGGCCTTTAGTTCCTGTCTCCTTACACCTTATATATTTTTCTCCACCCAGCCATTACTTCCTGGCTTTAAAGGAGTGTGTTCTTCCCAGTACTGGGATTAAAAGTGTGTGCCACCACTGCCTGGCTCTGTTTTCTCCCCTAGACTGAGTCAATTTCATGTAGTCCAGGTGTCGCCCGAGTGCTAGGATTAAAGGTGTATGCCACCACTGCCTGGCTTCTATGTTTAATCTAGTGGCTTGTTCTGTTCTCTGATCTTCAGGCAAATTTTATTAAGGCACACAATATATCACCACACTAAGAGGGCTATATTCTTAGGTGATGATTGGTAGATATAAAGAATAGAAAGAATGCCCTCTATTTGTAACTTCTACACAGTTAAATTAATATGACTATGTAATGATATTGCATACATATGCAATATATTTTTATTCTAGTGTAAAATACATTATTTAATTATTCTAAATAGAAAAGAATCACCAGCCTAAGTTTCAAAAGAAATATTGGGCTGGGTATGGTGCCACTCACCTTTTTTGTTTGTTTGTTTGTTTTTGAGACAGGGTTTCTCTGTGTAGCTTTAGTGCCTGTCCTGGATCTTGCTCTGTAGATCAGGCTGGCCTCAAACTCACAAAGATCTGCCTGGCTCTGCCTCCTGAGTGCTAGGACTAAAGGCGTGCACCACCACCACCTGGAAGTGCAACTCACCTTTAATCCCAGGACTCAGATGGTTGTGAGCCACCACAAGGGTGCTGGGAACTGAGCCCAGGTCCTCTGGAAGAGCAGCCAGTGATCTTAACCACGGAGCCATCTCTCCAG